GATGGCCTCTGCCGTCCCCACGGGGGTCACACTGGGTACCGTCACTACTGCCTGTGAGATGCTTCATTTTCAATTGTTTTTTCTTTTTAAAATTTTTCTTGATTTCGATTTCTGAATATTTGAGATCCCCAAAATATTTATTGTTGATTTCTAAAAAGAATATATTTTATATGACTTTAATCCTTTTAATTCCCTGGGTCTCGGCCACATGTTGATTTCCAAACATTTTTTTCTGTTGTTGATTTCTATAAAGACAACATAGCAGGCTATGGTGGTGCACGCCTTTAATCCCAGTGCTCATGAGGCAGAGGCAGGTGGATCTTTATGAGTTCAACGCCAGCCCAATTTATATATTGAGTTCCAGGTTAGCCCGGGTTACATAGTGTGACCCTGTCTTTAAAAACAAACGAAAAAATAAACAAACAAACAAAACCAAAAAATTGGCTGGAGAAATGGTTCAGTGTTTAAGAGCACTGGCTACTCTTCCAGAGGACCAGGTTCAATTCCCGGCACCCATATGGCAGCTCACAACTGTCTGTGACTCCAGTCCAGAGGATCTGACTGCCTCACACAGATAAAAGGCAGGCAAAACACAAATGTATATAAATTAAACTACATACACAGACACACATGCTCCCTTTAATTTACTGAGCCTTGTTTCCTGGTTGAAAGGGTCTTGAGGGACAGATACCCCAGGTATATTTGAAAAGATTATTTTTTCACAGGCATGACAGCTAGGTCAAGTTGGTTGATATTGTTTAAGTTTTATATACCTTTGACAATATTTTGACAGAGTTCAAATTAATCATTACAAGTAGAGTATTATTTCTTACTATTGTTGAACTGTCTATTTCTCCTTTTATTCTGTTTATTTTTCTTCCCTGTATCTTGGGCCTCCATTGTTAGGTAACTAATTCAAATTGTTATTATCTTCCCGAGAAATACATTTTTGTCATTATGAAACATTTTAGAAAAATAACTGCAGACAGAACACTCAGAGTTGAGTGTGGTTTTGAGGTACACTGTGTCTTTCTGGAGGAGTGTTGTCTTATATCCACTCTAGAAATGTTTGCCAAGACTGTTTATATGCCAAGCACATGAAAAAGTGTTTTATTATAAAATGGTAGACTAAAAAAACATTTTCCCGTGTTTCTTAAACCCCATTCCAAGTGGCAGTAAAGAAACACACAAAGTAGAGATTTCCAGGGATGGAAAGAGGACAAAATAGGGTAGTAGTGAAACCAATGGTAGTACAGTTAGCGAAGGAGGAGGTTATGATTGAGGTGGGAATTAATCCCTTGGTTGGAGCCCCAAGAGAAGTCCAAACTGCCATATACCACGGCC